AAAAAACCCAGAAGTCATGCTGTGCCCTTCAGTAAACTATAAGTAAAAACTCAGAAGTCATGTTCTACCCCCAGTAAACTATTTAAAAAAAACCCGGAAGTCATGCTGTGCCCCCCAGTAAACCTTAAGAAAAAAACCCAGAAGTCATGCTGTGCCCTTCAGTAAACTATAAGTAAAAACTCAGAAGTCATGCTCTACCCCCAGTAAACTATAGGGAAAAAACCCAGAGGTCATGCTTGCCCCCCAGTAAACCTTAAGAAAAAACCCAGAAGTCATGCTGTGCCCCCCAGTAAACCTTAAGAAAAAACCCAGAAGTCATGCTCTGTCTTCCAGTAGACTACTAGAAAAAAACAAGATGTCATGATGTCATGCTGTGCCCCTCAGTAAACTACAGGGGGAAAAACAGGTCATGCTGTGCCATCCAGTAGACTATAACAAAAAAACCCAGAGGTCATGCTCTGCCCCTCGGTAAACTATAAAGAGAAAACTCCAGAGGTCATGCTGCACCCTTCAGTAAATTTATAAGAAGAAACCCAGAAGTCATGCTCTGCTCCCCGAGTAAACTATAAGAAAACAATGTCTGTCCCACCCATCCTAAACATCATACTGACTAACAGTGTAATTAGGGACTGTCCTGTTGCCTCTCTGGAGCAGAGTCTTTCCTGGTTCGGATCTGCTAAGCTATGCAATACTGGGAGATAGGGGTGGACATGTATAGGTTTTTTCCTTTTAATTGTTTTCACATGTGCATGTGTTTGAATGGTAAGGACCCAATAAATAGCAGAAATCTTTTCTTAGAAATTGTTGTTTTTATTCTGTTAATGCAATGTGGTCACTGTGTGATCTGTTTATATGCAAATTATCTTTAACATTATAATCCACAATCTTATTACCTTTAATGTTCCATCTGGTTGCAGTATGTGGCAGACGTGAGAACAGTACAGAAGCGAATAGCAGATGCCGAGGAGGTCATAGCTTACATTAATAAAGAAGAAGCGTTGTACAAATGGGACCTGACAAGCTACCCTGAGCTGGATGCCTTGAAAGCTGACATCGACCCATACCAGAAACTGTTTGCCCTCATTTATAAATGGCAAAGGGCTGAAAAGAAGTATGTCCTTGTGAAATGCTCATATATGTTTTCCACAAGTAACTAATATCTTACAATTCAGAAACAATTACATTTATACATGTAGATTTTTTGGTAAATGTCTCTTGATTGTAATATATTATTTTCTTCCCATAATGTCATCTAATATCTGAAAGATGTCCCATAGACAAGGCCCAGTTGGCCACTCTCGCCCTCCCCATCAAAACTACTTTATATAGCCAAACACAGATCTAAGATGAGACAATCCTCTAAGTCCATTGCTAAGTTCTGTAGCCTACGGTTGGTCACCATTTTAGTTTCCTGGTAGCTAAGGGGCTGTGTAATGCTGTTCATATGGCAGCTTCTTACCATAGGGTATAAAATACTACCTAGCTCCTTGTAGACTTACCAGGAGGCAGGCAGACCAGTATACTCTGTGGCAGAGAGCCAGCTCATATGCAGTAATAAACAGTCCATTGCCCCTAGAAGGGTGAAGCCTAGTTAGGCTGTAGCACTTAGGCTGGGCTCACACCTAGGCGTATAGAATATGCGTGTTTTTACCAATGGATACGCGCGGTAAATACACCCCAAAGAAGCTCCTGTACTTCCTACGCGCTGTAAAACACCCAGGTGGGAACCATGCCCATAGGCAATCATTGGTTTTCACATGTTGAGCGTTTTACAGAACGCGCTGTAAAACGCCCAGGTGTGAACCAGGCCTTAGAGATACATGATTGTCTAATCTGTGTTCTGTGTATGGGTTTATAGTATAGATGGAAAGGGTAACTGGGGCCAAGTAGACGTTGCTTAGTAGGAAATGGTGGGCTCGACATACTCAGTCCTGCTGATGATGTGTGCTTTTAATAGCACATAGCTTTTCTCTTCTATCAGTCCACTGTATTCTCTGCTCTCTAGGTGGACCGATGGAGCTTTTCTTGACCTGAATGGAGAGAGCATGGAAGCTGAAGTAGATGAATTCTTCCGAGAGGTGTATAAGATGATGAAACTGTTCCAGCAGAAGGAAAAGAAGGCAGAACAGGAGAAGAAGAAGGCAGTCATTCAAAGGTCATTGACAGATGATAAGGTGGAAGAAGAGAAGAAGGAAAGCAGTACAGTTCTTATGTGTTCTTCCATTATCGAGCAAATCAAGGCTTTTAAGGTATACACATAGCAACAGTAAAATGTAGCTTTCACTAGCATATCCATATAGCCTCAGAATAACACTCCTATATCTTTTTGTTTTGAATAGGGTGCAAAAGAGTTACAGCCTCACAACATCTGACTGAATGTTATTGCTGCCCCCATGGGGAGAAAGGAGTTCTCCCCTATTCCTGTCTAAGTGGCGACTGTCACCAAGACAGGAAATGGGGGAAATCTATCCAGCAGAAAACATTCAACAATAACAGCTCTTATACAGTATTTAAGTGGGGAAGAATTAGGACCTCATTTTTTTTAATTATTATTGTTGTTCGCCTCCCTATTGAGAATATTATCTTCACTGACCACCCAGGAAGTAAGGAAAAATGTTACTTGTAGGACTGAGACAGAAATACAAATTAGGCAAGGTTCTATATTTTTTTCAGGCCCTTTAAAACTTAGAAAAAAACATTAAAAAATAAAAATATGTATAATCCGCGCTTTAAAGATCGATATGGATAAATGAAAAAAATGAAAAAATATATGAAAAAATATAGAGCTGCTGTACTAGGGCCACTGGGGTCAAATAGTATGTAACTGGATGTGCAGCGCTCAGGGTCACCAGTGAGTGAATTAAAACAGTGTTGGCGTGATAATGAGTGTTAGTAATCAATAATAATCAGTGAACAAATGAATACAATAAAATAAAACAAATGCGAAATATATAAAAAACATAGAAATCTCAAGCTTATCTAAGTGATATATAGCAAAGTGAATCCAAAAATGGGTGAAAATATATATATAATATTAGTATTATATAAATAAATAAATAATTAAATAATTAAATAATTCATTATTTAAAAGTGGAAAAATGTGAATCCAAAAATAATTTGTTGATTGGATGTGGGTCATAAATGGATATTTTGTGAGTAATTCAAATTTTCAGTGTCAGCAACATATTAGTGATGATAGAAATCCCACACCGCAGTGTCCACGTCTAAGTCCCTTCTGGGATGCGCACTCACCAGACCAGGATATTCACAGGCAGAAGGAGATAATAGTTGGTGATCCTACAGTCGTCTGGTCCTCACCATATGGATCAGTATTTTATCAAAAAAATATAAAAGGGACAAGAACTCCTCATGGTGTAGTCGACAGAAAGCTTTATTAAACAAAAAAAGTAGCCACTTACATTTAAAATCGCCAAAAACGGCCGCTCACACGTCTGTGAGTAAAACCTCTGTACTTCCTGGTTGCGTGTGATACCGAGAAGTGTAGCCCCGCCCCGACGCGTTTCGTCATACAAAGACGTCTTCAGGGGGATCGCAGGTTAATAAAGCTTTCTGTCGACTACACCATGAGGAGTTCTTGTCCCTTTTATATTTTTTTGATAAAATACTGATCCATATGGTGAGGACCAGACGACTGTAGGATCACCAACTATTATCTCCTTCTGCCTGTGAATATCCTGGTCTGGTGAGTGCGCATCCCAGAAGGGACTTAGACGTGGACACTGCGGTGTGGGATTTCTATCATCACTAATATGTTGCTGACACTGAAAATTTGAATTACTCACAAAATATCCATTTATGACCCACATCCAATCAACAAATTATTTTTGGATTCACATTTTTCCACTTTTAAATAATGAATTATTTAATTATTTAATTATTTATTTATTTATATAATACTAATATTATATATATATTTTCACCCATTTTTGGATTCACTTTGCTATATATCACTTAGATAAGCTTGAGATTTCTATGTTTTTTATATATTTCGCATTTGTTTTATTTTATTGTATTCATTTGTTCACTGATTATTATTGATTACTAACACTCATTATCACGCCAACACTGTTTTAATTCACTCACTGGTGACCCTGAGCGCTGCACATCCAGTTACATAGAAAAAAACATTGCTTGGAGCTTTACTGTAAAGTGAACCTCTGCTTTGCCTGTGCATTTAAGTTCCCTCTCACTAGCAGCACATAGTCACCTTTCCATCACTTTCCTTTCGCTCTGTTCAGATGTCAGGAGCAAAAAGAGGGAACCCTGTGTAAGATCCAAATTAAAATTTGGAGTTTATACAGGACAGTGCCCCCACCACCTTGTGACAACACTGGGCCACCTAGTCCCAGGGATATCACATACTGTACTTCTTCATATCGGGTAGTACTGGGTATTTGTCATCACTCCTGGTGGCCAAACAGAGCTGCAGGACCGAAAGGAGTGTGTGTATTCACTGCTGGGGAGGAGAGAAGTTACAGGAAGCTGTTGTTTAGCCTGAATGGGCAAAGCACACATCCACTTTACGCTACCGCACACTAAGAACCTGGGGCCATTGACCAGATGATATAACTCTATTGTATGGGAACACTGTGGCATTTACTTTAGTGATGATCTAATAGAAAATAGGAGCCTCTGTTTGAATATTGCTTACATACAGAGGTGTAAAATAAACACTACTGCCCCAATGCATGTAAAAGAGATGGCAGCAGGACACCTTTGCATCTTGGCACAGTGAGGTGTAAATTCCCCAACATCATCAGTTCCTCTAGTCAGGCTTTCTTGTATCCTTTGATATCCCTGTAAATACATCTCTGCTGGCAGTTTGTGTCAAGTTTTTGTGAGAAATATGTAAAATTATTTATCTGTGGTAGCTCAACAACTTTATCTACAAGCACAGTTATGGTTTAGAATTCTTCACATCGAAACATCAGATCTGTCGAAAATTAAGAAACAATGCAAGGGTACATCACCCTGTGCTCGTAAGCTGGCCATACACCAGTAGAATGTCACACAAAAAAAAAATTTTGAACATTTGTTCAATTTTCTAATAGTTAATGGGGTCAAATTGACTACTGATGTTGACGTTAGTCTTGAAGAATCATTGGAGAAGGATGGAAAATGTTTCCAAAATGAAAAAAAAAACTAACTGTCATTGTGGTTTCATTCGAGAAACTCCATTCATTCTAAAATCGAATGTTAAAACCAAAATCAAATTTCAAATATTTGTCAAGTCTCTTATGACATTATCGAATGTTCTGTTGAGATGTTTTGCATTAATGTTTATACAAAAATCTACCAGTGTATGGCTAGCATTAGTCCTAAACCACTTGTATCTCTTCACAAGCAATATTCTAACTTGATACCCCCCTGCCCCGATCTGTTGGTCATGGATATCTGCTGAGGTCAACAGGTGCCCAAAAGGCATGCAGACGAAAACCAATAATGTGGGGATATTTACAGAATGGGGATCTCAAGACTCTCTTAGTTTTGGAGTGGCTTGCACCTGCACCTTCCACCATTAGGGTCGTGGATTTCATTCTCCCGAAGGACAATAAAGGCACAGAGTCTCTTTGTTTTCTTTGGTCGAGAAGACAAAGTCTTCATTTTGTAATATTTTAGGCCTTGTCCTGTATCTATTATCTGCCTTCAGCTGGTGATAATAGAAATTCACCATGAGTCAGTTGTTATGAGACAGGATTTGGTATCTCAGAATTCCCAAATTTTTCTTTCTACCATCATTATTTTTTTTCCTTTTCATTTTCCTGAACATGCATTTAATTTTATTGTCTCCTCTGCAGGAATATATCCCCCTGGTGAGCATCCTTTGTAACCCAGGAATAAGGACCCACCACTGGGATCAGATTTCGGAGATTGTAGGGTATGACCTTACACCCAATTCTGGTACCACCCTCAGAAAAGTTCTGAAGCAGAATTTAACTCCTTATCTCGAGAGATTTGAGCAGATTAGTGCTGCAGCTAGCAAGGTAAGATTTGATTTATTGACCTGTGTCCCTAGTGTAGATTTTAAAACATATTTAGAAATCTGGCAAAAGGGCAATTCTGTAAAGAAATAATTAGTAGTTGTTTGCTGGGACAACGTTTGACTTGTACACAGCTCAGTTATTGAACGATCAGCTAATGAATGGACAACATAGAATAATACATATATGGTTTATTATGGTAAAGTCATTTTCCTGTGTCTTTGTTAGGAATTTTCCTTGGAAAAGGCAATGCATACAATGCAGGACATGTGGGACTCCATTTCCTTTAACACCAGCGCTTACCGTGAATCAGGTGTGTCCATCCTATCCGCAGTGGATGAAATCCAGACCATTCTAGATGACCAGATTGTCAAGACACAGACAATGAGAGGATCCCCTTTCATCAAGCCTTTTGAGAAAGAAATAAAGGTACATCAAATATTCAGTAGATAATAATGAGCTTCTTTTTATTAGCAAACAACTAGACTTCACTGTGCTGTAAAGCCTATTGGGTTGAGTTACATACGGTGTTTGAGCACGATTACTTGACATTTACCAGGTAATATATGGAGGTTTCAAGTTATACGGAGCGGATTTAAAATGTATGTCAACCCTCACAATGTACTGCTCTTATTTGCTCCATTTTGGTCTGTTAAATATACCGTTGTTATATCTGTTTGATACATGCTGTTGTTCCTGTCACAAATACAGTATTATTATTATTATACAGGATTTATATAGCGCCAACAGTTTGCGCAGCACTTTACAATATAAAGAAGACATTACAATACAATTTAAGACACGATGGTAAAGAGGGCCCTGCCCATGAGAGCTTACAATCTAAGAGTACATTTGAAACTTTTTTAATGCTGTACTTGTGCTGTACTGTTATCAGTTAACATTGTCTCCAGCTCTCTCTGTTCAGAACACCTCCCCATGTTACAGAGAAGTGGGGAAAGGAAGGTGTTCTGTAGTGCTACCTGACCTTCCTGTCTAGAGGTGACAATGTTACTCCTCCATAGATACAGTACAGTGAATGCGCGTTGTTACCTGAGAACAGGGAATATAATCCTGCTAACCAACTACTTGTTTACATGTGTAGTTATTTTAAAACAAAATGACTTATCTGAGTCATATCAGTTCTCTAAAGCAAGATTTTCATACTTATAGAAAAAGCAGGTTTCTTTAATCAAACCAATAAAATATGAATCATGATTGGATCCGCTACACCCCTACAACACTGATGTGTTTGATAGTCCACTGGCACTCGATGATGTGTGCAAGAAGTAAAGCACTTTTTATTAAATTGTCACATTCATCATTTTTTCATCATTAGACCATAATACATTTCCTACTCTTCCCACATTCAGCAATGGGAGGAGCGCCTTATCAGGATCCAGGAAACGATTGATGAATGGCTGAAGGTGCAAGCTCAATGGCTCTACCTAGATCCTATATTCTCTTCTGAGGACATCATGCAGCAAATGCCTGAGGAAGGACGACTTTTCCAGACAGTGGACAGAAACTGGAGAGAAATCATGAAACACTGTGTAAAAGACCCCAAGGTAATGTTTAGTATTGTGAGACAAATGAATATTCTGGTCATTGGTCAGTAGATACTACTTAATCAGGACAGCAGTTTTAATGAAATTGACCTTGTGATTAACCCCTACCTGCATCTGCATTTCTCCCTGCCTGATGCCCTATGCTGCAGGTATCTCAATCTACTTCTCTCTCTTTGACAGATAGCGAGCAATGCTACCTGTCAGACCAAGCTGTCACCAACAGCTTCAGCCCTGCTAATGCTTGGATACCAGTTAGACTGGAGGCCTCATTCACAAAATAAGCCTACAGCCTGCAGATGCCATTGCAGCCTAAAGATGGCAGCATGTTTCTGTTTAATATGGTAATTGTCAGATACAGTTGCAGTATTAGCAAAATAAATAGGTAAAAAATAACATTTAAAAGGGTGTTTATACAGTAGATATACACTGTATATATACTCTTAAAATATATACAAAAGTCCCCAAAAAGCATCAAAATGATTTTGGTATCTAATTTTCGTCATAGAGGTATCTTTAGATGATATGGCTAAATTGGAAGGTATAATAACTGCATACTGTGTCTAGTCAGGTAGACCTTCTTTTTTTCATTTTAACCCTTAAACAATAACTTAACATACTGTTTATTATTATATTATATATGTTATGTATATTTATCCTCTGCTGAAGGGTACAAATTCTGATCCAAAACCCAAGGTCAGGGATGTCCTGGCATTGAAACTACCAACATGGCAGAGTTTTTAAGCTCTTTCCAAAATCCATTATTTTAGATGGAATATTCTAACATATTTTGGTGGATCCTAATCACTTTATGTGGCAAGATCCAGATCAACGCTTGTTTAATATGTCTAATCTGAATCCTTTAATATTGTCTTTAGCAAGCAAACTAGTACTGCCGTATATATACACTTTTGTTAACAGGTATATATTAATTGTCACCTTCTATTTTAGGTTTTAAGTGCCACCTCCCTCACTGGCCTTCTGGAAAAGCTGCAGGATAGTAACACGCTCCTGGATAAAATCATGAAGGGGCTTAATGCTTATTTGGAAAAGAAGAGGCTTTTCTTCCCTAGGTAAAGTAATTTATTTATTGTCCATTGAGGAACTCAGGAGTAGAGCTTTAAATGAACAAAGTGCATATATTTCTTCTTGTAGATTTTTCTTCCTGTCCAATGATGAAATGCTGGAGATTCTGTCTGAGACAAAGGATCCACTCCGAGTTCAGCCTCATCTCAAGAAATGCTTTGAAGGGATTGCTAAACTAGAGTTCCTCCCCAACTTGGATATCAAAGCCATGTACAGCTCGGAAGGGGAGAGGGTTGAACTTATCCAGACAATTTCCACTTCAGAGGCACGAGGGGCTGTGGAGAAATGGCTCATCCAGGTGGAGGATGTAATGCTGAGAAGTGTACGCGACGTTATTGCCCGCTCTAGAATGGTACGGTATTCAGTGAAACCTTTTTTTTAAATTGGTATTGGCCTTTATATCTGCCTCAATAAAAACTGTCTGTGTTGCTCTTTAGTTGCAGCCAATTCTTTGGTGGTGCCCATGACCCTGCCAACAGTAACCCTTTCTTTTCCTCTCTATATGCCATTGTAAACACTGAGGCAGTGTGTTAGAGTGAATATTAACAGCTTGGCCCTGCTTCCGATTCCACATTTCACAGTGAGAACCTGGGCAATTTATGGTACCGAGGGCACATATTAAAGGAAACTTTGCCTTGCCCATGTAGTCCATTCTCCTTAATATACTCACCAACCCCTCACTCTGATGATCTGTTTGCATTCAGAAGCAGAGATATATACCTGATACTTCCACGTATAGTCAGTCATTTGATTCACCCCTCTTTCTCCCATGTGATAGTTCTGGTGGTTACCTATTGGCTGCTCAGTCACCATCACTATCAAATGGAGACAGGGAAATAGTACCCAGTCCTGTGTAAGGTATATCTGGGATCAGATGGGTTGGACAAGGCTAGATAGTGTAGGTAAGTATTATAGTGTGCACACGGCACTGATGGGGGCGGTTGGTAAGAAATTTGTGTTATATTTAAAGGACAAGGTCTGCTAATCTCCAGCAATATACTCTAAATGTATTATTTATCCTTTGTCGCTCTTGGTCAGAGGTCTGGCGCTTCCTGTACTAAATTAGAAATAAAGCAAACATTGGCTAGACATTTTGTAAGTAAAAAACATCTACAGTACAATGCAAAGTACTTTCTTGTTCAAGCCACCAGGTGGAGCTATCCAATGTAAGTTTTGTTTCTGCTTTTGCTGATTGGAGTACTGATTTTGTTGTACATAAGATTTTATCATTTGCTCTTTGATTCCTACATCCATATATACACTGGGGACAATAAAGTTTAAAGGGAACCATAAAGGAATGGGCATTTGTAAAAATATGATTTTAGACTATGAAGTTGTTTTTAATAGCACAGCCTTACCTCTCAAGCATAGTGTGTGTGCTGTTATAAAGCTGTAGTCTCTCACTATTAGAGCAGAAATGTCAGCTCACTGTCAGGCTGTAAGTCCTCGATGGGGGCTAACCTGATCCCAGGCTGTGCCCAGAAATGTTAATAGAGACATTCTCCAGCCTGCTTAAAGCCTTTCTCCAGTAAATAAATAAAAAAAAAACTACCCTTGCATTGGGGCTACCTGGGCTACATATGCACTGAAAGGGCTAACTGCTCATTTTTGTCTAGGGGAATTCTTGAAAGCATTTTTACTTGCCTGATCCCCTATGACTGCTCTGGCGGTCATAGGCCTGCTGACGTTATCTCGTCTAATGCAGGATCCATAGCCCTGTATTATACATACGGATGCTGAGCGACAGTCTACAAACCAGAGTGGAGGGAAGAGAGGTGAGTGCTGACTGCTGGGGAAGCGGGGGGTCAGGAAAGTAAAATGGCTTTACAGAATTCTCCTTGACAAAAACAAGCAGTTAACCATTACAGTGGGGCTACAGTAGACTTTTTTTTTATACAGTATACCCGCCCAGGACTGTATTCACCACCTGAGGAGAATACTGGCAGGTCACTGGGTCACTTGTCGTTTGGCAAGCAGGGGGGGAGGGTGCTGGGTGCCATACTGCGCTGTCAAATGCTCTGTTCGGCATCCCACCCAGATCACTGACGTTACTGAATGCCAGGATGCTGAATGCTCAGCTCCTTAGTAAGAGGTCTTAGCAACCTGTGATACTGTGGTTGCCCCCCCCTCCACCACCCGGCCGCCCCCCAATGAGATGCTGCCTGAGGCTCTGTACCCTGGCGATAAACTCTAAGGAGGGTAGGTCAGTTCTCAGCACTGCATTTATACAGGGGTTGTAAATAAGTAAATAATCGAAAATCAAATAATCCCTGTTAGGTAAGGCTGCACTATTATAATAATTCAATAGTGATTATATAGATTTTTACAAATATCCATTGGTGACTGGTTCTCTTTAAAGTAGATGTACTCTAGCTGAATGACATTTATTATGCTAAAGCACTGTACATCCTAAACAATTGCCACCCTAAATTTTCCCTAAAATACTGTTTTCACCTTTTTTTTGCATCTCAATACTGCTGATCTCCAGCCTCTGTGCTGGTACTTTCTGTGTACATACACGCCAGTGATGGCTGCATGTCATTGATGAAAGCGGGCTTCCTGATATTGACAACGGCAGTACAGGTCTATGCAAAAAGCCTAGCCGCTTGTAGTCTCCACCAGAAGCATGTGACAGGGTGACACTGCAGGAGAGAAATTGTCAGGCAGGATCACAGCATTGTCACTGCCTAACAGGAAGTACCTGAACAAGGGCCTTATGGCAGGATCAACAACTGTTAATATAATAAAAGCTGTAATTGTAAAAGATTTAAAATGACTATAAAAATGTAATTAATATGTAAAAGCTTGTATAAGATATTTTGTGATTGGGTTTACATATATTTCAAGCTAGTAATTGTACTATAAAAATATTTTTTTCTGCTTTCCATTAAATAGCATCCAGGCTTGTTTGGAGCCATTGCTGGGATATTGCACATATTTGATTCTCTTTTTAACTCTTTACTGCATTTATTTTGTTTTTGTATTGTAATTTATCACATTATTTTGCTTCTTCAGGCATATCCTGAGACTGCCAGGAAAGACTGGGTGAGAGAGTGGCCAGGACAGGTAGTGTTATGTGTATCTCAGATGTTCTGGACCAGCGAGGTGCATGAAGCTATACGCAGTGGCCCTGAGGTATGGAAATCCAAAAAAAGACAAAATCAGAAGTGAAATTATTTATTTAATATTATGTTTTGTGTTTCCAGTTTTGTTAACATGAGCGGCAGGATTACAGTGCTGAAATATCATTTGTTTCTGTGCAGGAACTTCTTGTAATAAAGACCAGTCACTGCGGCTCTCTCTCCTTGTGCAGGGTGACTGGTCTTGTGTCCGCCCCTCCTGTAGTTTTCTGTAGGCAGCCTGTAGTGGGTGGAGCTTGCTGGGTCCCTCCCACAGCTCTGCACTTTGCAATGGCTATGTACAGCACAGTAATGATGTCACTGCTATTTTTAAAAGATAATATTTTGGTTTGCAAAGGCATTGGGTGTGCCCAAAGTGGGTTTATATTATTTGTGGCTATTAAGGAATATATTTAAATTAAAGGTTCTGCCTACATTTTAACAGGGACCTGCGGTCAGGGGAGGCAGGTGAGGCAGATCTCTCTTCATGTCTGAAGCTGATATCTTTTTCTCCATTCAGATCGGTATCTAACAGGTTACACAGCAGGGAAATCCTCCCCGCTGTGTAACCTGTCACGGAGCCTCAGTGAGGAGCAAGTGAGGGACAGAGAGGCTCCTCCCTGTCTCCTCCCTGTCTCCTCCCTTCCACCTTTACACTAGCTTGGGGGCTGGGCTTTGTCCAGTGGGGGGTGAAGCTTCGGCCAGCAGGAGGTGGAGCATCAGCCGTCAGGGGCAGGGCTTCAATCGGCGGGGGGCTGGGCTGGGGAATGCCTCACCCCGAGCAAGAGGTACCGCACGTCACTGCATTTTAATACTACTTAATACCGGTAGCCACTGTAAATAAAAATTTGGAAGTCATACCCAGACACACTTGATTAGTCCCTCCACAGTTCACAGGTGATTTCTTGAGACGGAAAGTGAATAGAGTTAGTGATCATGTTTTTGTTCAAATCCCTTTTTAAACCTGGTCTGAGCCCCCCTACTTTAGTCTTAATATCATCTGCCTGTGATGCTATGGCAGTGCTTACACCATTGGCTATAAACCAAACCTGTGGGGAACACAACTGTCAATTTATAAAAGCAAAAACTGTGATTGCAGTAGAATGTATAACAATGAATTATCTTTTTTTCATTTGTTTTTTTCTAGGGATTAAAAAATTACTATGATAAACTTCAGCATCAGCTCAATGACATTGTTGAACTTGTACGAGGCAAGCTGTCCAAGCAAACACGTACCACACTGGGAGCTTTGGTGACCATAGATGTCCATGCCAGGGATGTGGTCATGGACATGATAGAAACAGGTCTGTGTGCATGTATTTGGACTAGGCATGTCTGCCGTCTCATGACTATGCCATTACAATTTGTTATACTGTATATGTATTACAACAGTGCTAAGATATTTATAGGAGGAAACTGATTACACTGGTACACTGGTCAAGGATTGAGAGTAACATGGGAGTTTGATAAGCTATGTTATAGCACCAAGGATTTTTTGAATGATTTAAAGTGTAAGATTAGTTAAAAAAACATAATGTGCTCAAATATTTAAAGTGACATTAAACCCTCAGATTTTTTTAACATAAAACAATACTGTAATGAGTACCTTACTGTAATCCATGGTAGTTTCCCTTCTCTTTGCTGCTCTTCCTTTTAAATCCTCATGTCTTCTCATGCTTGGGGAGAACTTCCCTTTGCAGCTGACTGCCTCTTCCTGTAGTGCTGGCTCAGGTTGCAAACCTATACACAGACACCATGTAGCCATTCCAGAGACAAGGCAGTCTGCTGCAAAACAGAAGTTTTGCCCAGCATGAGAAGAGATACAGATTTAAAAGGAAGAGCAGCAAAGAGAAGGGAAACAACCATGGATTACAGTAAGGTGCACATTACAGTATTGTTTTATGTTAAAAAATCTGAGGGTTTAATGTCACTTCAAGTTTAAATACATGCTTAAAGAAGAACTTCGGGCAGAATAAAAATTAACCCACATCCAATGGAAATGAATGGACATGATGATGTCATGGGTCCTTAGACTGCTGGAGCCTGGGTAAAAAGCGGCTGTTGAGGACCAGTCTAGCAACCAGGTGGGACTAAGAATATAGGTGAGTATATCTTTGGGTAGCCGCACTGCAAGGGTTAGTTTTTATTCTGCCTGGAATTCTTCTTTAAAGTGTATGTAAACACTAAGAATGAACTTCTGTTATTTACTCCCCTTTGGTCTGTTATATACACCATTGAAAGCGTTATCAGCAACAGAGTGAGTGCTGTCAATCTAGAAAGCAGTGGGCAGGACAGGGTGTGCCCAGGTGCGGATTGACAAGCTACAGGCTTTTGACCCAGCAGTGACAAAGCCAGAAAGCCACACCTCCTGAAACATCTTCTTGTCCCAAGGTTGTACAAACAGGCACAGCCTACATGAGAGTGGCAACTCTGCTCTGAATTCAGGAGCAGTGCAGCATCCTTACCACCCCATCACAGGAACCTGCATTAGGTGAACTTCACTGGCAGGATTAACAGGTATTTGTGGGACCTTGCAGGGGAACTAAGAAAACTGTAGACTCACCTAAAATTAAGTGCTGCAGCACATTTTGTTTAATAGGAGGCCATAATTCTACATTAAAGTGAATAGGGCAGGGCTATGACATATCGTAATGAAGAATTGTGAAAAAGGAGAAAGAAATGCATAAAATGTTAGAGAGAAAATAAAGAACACAGCGACAGCTTATAAAGGCAATTTGCACTTTACTGTCACACCGGCAGTGTCCGAAGCTCTTCAAAAGAGCGAAGTTCCAACACCGGAGAGGTAAGTATAAATCACCTTCTGCTCTTGCTCTTCTTCTAGTGACAGGGTCTTTTTAAGTCTGTGTGATAACTGTAAATGTGTCTTTTTAGGTGTTTCCCATGAAACAGACTTCCAGTGGTTGGCTCAGCTGCGCTATTACTGGGAAAATGAGAACGCCCGCGTCCGAATCATTAACTGCAACGTGAAATATGCTTACGAGTACCTAGGCAACTCACCACGACTGGTCATTACACCTCTTACTGACAGATGCTACAGAACCCTGGTATGATGTGTACATTTTAATAAAGCTTTGGGTATTAACCAGTGTAAGAGGGACAACAATAACCCATATTGTTCAAAGATAAGCTGCACTGATTATTATTTTCCTGCTGCTCCACTCACATTGCCTTCAGTGCAGTATTCATCATCGTCACTACATTAAATCATTCAGTTCCCTGTGTAAATTTTACCTTTTTTCTGCTATTGAGCCTTGAAAACACCAAGCCTTTAGGGCTTGTTCACACCAAATCCAGACCAGATTTGCATGAGTTATTAATATTATTATTATACAGGATTTATATAGCGCCAACGGTTTGCGCATAGCATTCTGCATATGCAGTGCAGTGCGTTTTTGACGCGTTCCGGTCCTTTTTTAAGCATAAAATGGGCTTTCCAGTATGTTCCAGGGCATTTGCATGCATTTTTTATGCGTTTGCTGGGGTTTTGGTGCGTTCCAGAGCAGAAAAAATAGGGCATGCTGCAGTTTTTCCACATGCTCCGGAACTGAACGCTGTGGTGTGAACTAGGGCCCAAAATACCATTGGAATAAATTGGATACATTTTTGATGCTCTGCTCTGCATCTGCTCCGCACTTGATGTGAACAAGCCCTTAATGGCAAAGTAGATAAGGAAGGCCTGTAAAATGTGACAAGGTGCATACATCTCCAACTGTAGGCTGAAAATGAGAATTCAAAATATTAATATGCAATGATTCATATTTTCCTGACTCAACCAGGAAGTAAAACAATAGTAATTGTAAGTAAAGGCAAAACATTTTTATCTAATGAGTGTATGATGATTACATGCCATGCATGCTGATGTGATTTTCAGTGAGAGAGTATAAAGGTCCACTGTAAGCCTTTATCTTTTTTGATAAATGTCTTTTTTTTTCTTTTACTTGGCAGATTGGTGCTTTTTACCTAAATCTTGGAGGAGCTCCTGAGGGACCTGCAGGTACAGGAAAGACCGAAACTACCAAAGATTTGGCTAAGGCTCTGGCCGTGCAGTGTGTGGTGTTCAACTGCTCTGATGGTCTGGACTACATAGCAATGTCAAAGGTATGTACATACTCTGTGTAGCAGATATTCCAGCGTGTGGGGAGAGCAATTTGTTCATAGAAAAAGGAATAATGTCACCAGCACACCGGTTTTGTAAATCAATGATCCATTTTAATGGCACATTGCCATCCAATACATACATGTACATAAGTATGTATTGGATGGCAATGTGCCATTAAAATGGATCATTGATTTACAAAACCGGTGTGCTGGTGACATTATTCCTTTTTCTGTGATTTACACGGTGCCTACCGTGGTCATTACAAGCACCCACCCAGTTTGGGGTTATTTTGGTAAGGAGTGCAGCAAGACATCCTGTTTCTAGCAATTTGTTCATGACACCTTTTATATAAAATACTTATATATGGCACATCCACCATTCAACTAAGTGTACATTATAATTACTTCCAGGGATTAAACCTGAACTCTAGGCAAACCTCTATATACACAGTTGGAACATATATAGAAAATGTTTTACAGACACCCCTGCCAAGCCAGCACAGCCAGATTCTTAACATCTACTGCAGCAGTAGCACTACTTCGAGCGCACTGATCAGGATAAACCCCTGCCTGCTAATTGGACAGTGAAGGAGAAGGAGCACACTCCTGAGCGGTCTCCTCTTCTCTGCATGTTCATTGGCTGCGTATGTGCATGCAAGAGACCTTGATTGGCTCCCACTGCTGGCCCCACCTCATTTAGTATGTGTCCTGCTGTGCAGACATTTCTAGGAGGCTAATACAAAACAATTTTAGGCATTTATACTAGTTACAATTAGTTTTCTGTAATCGTTTCATAAATTGGCACTTTTTTTATAACTGGGCACAGGAGACCAATGCTTCTAAGCTCCTGAGGATAAGGCACAGCCTTGGAATTTTCTCCTTCTTATTAACAAGCGGTGTATTCATATCACTGGTAAATAATCTGCTGTCTGAGTCTCATGTAGGCTTATGAAGAGAGAAAATGGAAACACAGTTCTTTATTAAGATTAGTGGTCTGCCCTTCTCTTATTAGGGTTTAGTTTAGAGACACGATCACCAGAATATTGATTGTTTTCATGTTTCTTTTTTTTTCTAGTTCTTCAAGGGTCTGGCATCATCTGGAGCATGGGCTTGCTTTGATGAATTTAACCGTATTGAGTTGGAGGTGCTCTCGGTTGTGGCCCAGCAGATCCTCTGCATCCAGAGAGCCATTCAGATGAAAATGGACATGTTCAACTTTGAAGGCACAGAATTGAAACTCAACCCAAACTGCTTCGTAGCTATTACTATGAATCCTGGTTACGCAGGGCGATCCGAGCTGCCTGACAACCTCAAGGTAAAATGAAAGATAAGCCAAAAGATTCATTTTCGTTGGGCCTGTGTTACATTCAAAAGCATCTGAACCAAGCATGCTTTCATGTGATAGGTGGCCTCAATCAGCAATTACAAGGCTTGGGAATAGGAAGTGGGGAGTGATATCAAACTCAACCTTTACAAAGGTATCTGAACCAAATCTCCATTAATGTGACGAGTGACCTAAGTGTCCAATGGCAAGGCTGGGGCAATGTGTGGAAGTAGCTTTTTTACAGGAGAGGTTGATATTTGCCTATAACTTCAGCAGCCTTTGTGTCTGGATCTAACAAAAAAAAAAGAAAGCATTTGTTTGTCATTGGCCTCTCAGACCTATACGACAGCAGTTTCATGAGTTATCTAGTCTACGTGTCTAGGATCTAGTAGTGGGAAATGTCTTCAACATCATATTTTTGTTCTTGAGTGATTTATTTATTAAACTTCATTGTTTATTACAGGTTCTTTTCCGCACTGTAGCTATGATGGTTCCCAACTACGCACTGATTGCAGAGATCTCACTTTATTCTTATGGGTTTCTACATGCAAAGCCTTTATCAGTCAAGATTGTTATGACATATAGGCTTTGCTCTGAGCAACTATCCTCCCAGTTCCATTATGATTATGGAATGCGTGCAGTGAAGGCAGTGCTAGTGGCTGCTGGGAACTTGAAGCTGAAATTCCCCAATGAAAATGAGGATATTCTTGTAAGTACAAACTTGGTGATATATTTTAGTTGTGTAAATCCAATGCACAGTGATGTATGTCAGATATCCTGAGCAATAAGTCTATAAAAAGCTGCATGACTTTGTCTTACATACAACTGTTAAGCTTTTCTGAAGCATATAATGCCCTTACTTTTTTACAGTGTAGTGCAACTGAGATTAAAATGGACCTATACACCTGTGGTGGCTACATGCCTAAAGACTGAAAACTCACAATAATCTATCAAATTTATATAGAAATAAACGTGAAATCCTCTGGCCATTACTTCACTTACACTGTACGTTTTTCTTTTCATAATTTAGCTTCTTCGGTCTATTAAGGATGTCAATGAGCCAAAGTTCTTATCTCATGATATCCCATTATTTAATGGAATTACCAGTGACCTGTTCCCTGGCATCCATTTACCCGAAGCAGACTATAAAGTAAGTTGCATTAAAGTGAATTACTGTAAAGTATATATGTCTGTTTTTCTGGCCATCTTTGGGATCTGCTTCTTTGATTTGATTATTATCTAGTTATTAGTACCCTATCTGTATTGAAAACAATTATGTGATTATATTATATACTGATTACTGTTATAATTTGTGTTGGCAATGCACGGCAAAGCAACAGTTTTTCTATAATGCCCCCTTCTCCATCAGCACATACTCACCTTTCCATTGTTCCCCAGTTACTCCATTCAGTTGCTAGGAACAAAGAAAACACCCTGTACTTCTAGGAATGGAGGACCACGGGACTTAAATCATGTGACAAAAATGGTGCTTGGTGATTGGCCCAGCACCGACACATGGGAGCAGAGAAAGTCCTAAGGGCCGGGTTCACACCACAAAGTTCGCGTTCCAGTGCGTTCGGCCTGTAGAACGCACTGGAACGCAAGCCGGCCGGCTCCCTGCGTTCAGGGGCGTGGCAGTGCAATTAAGTCAATGGCACTGCAGCCATGGCCCCCGGCCACAGTGCGATCGCCCGCACCTGGAACGCAGGCACATTAGTGCTTGCGTTCCGGTGTAGTGCGATCTGCAAAAATAGTGCTTGCAGTATTTTTTCAGATTGCACTGGACCGTATGGGCTTGTTCACACCAAATGCAGACCAGATCTATATGAGTTTCTGCACATGCAGTGCAGTGTGTTTTGCTGCGTTTTTGCAGAGTTCCGGGCCGTTTTTGTTAAAATTTTATTTTTAACCTAAAATGGGCTTCCAGGGCGTTTGCATGCATTTTTGATACGTTTGCATGCGTTTTGGTGCATTCCAGAGTAGAAAAAATACTGTTTATTTTCTCTGTATTGACAAAGCACAGCTTCACTGTAAGTCTGAATTATAATTTAATGTTTTTTATTTTATGTTTTTAATGTAATGTTTTTATTAATAATGTAATACTGCATTAATATTTTCCAGGATTTGCTGGAGTGTGCACATGAGTGTTGCATTAAACACAATGTTCAACCGGAGAAGGTGTTCCTGGAAAAGATGATACAGACCTATGAAATGATGATTGTCAGACATGGGTAAGAGTTCACAGTTCCTTTGAGTATAGATGGCTTGGGCCTAACTACAGGAAGTACAGAAGGGGCAACTTCTTCTGGGTGTTTGACGTCAAGGGGACCCAACCAGGACTGATCTTCCCTCTACTATAACTACCGACAATAACTTTTATTGCATTCTGTAATAAATAAAGTAGGATTTTTCTTTCCCACATTCTTTTTAATCTTTCTATGATTTAAGTGTGTAGTATCTTTATCATGATTGACAGATGCTGAAATTTGACTTTTTATTAAAAATGAGAACATCCAGAATTCATAGTATGGTCAACATTATATTTATATCTACAGTTTTATGCTGGTTGGAGAGCCGTTTTCAGGCAAAACAAAGGTCCTCCATATACTGGCTGATACACTGTCTCTTATGAATGAACGAGGGTGCGAGGAAGAAAAAGTCATCTACAGAACAGTGAACCCAAAATCCATCACAATGGGACAGTTGTTTGGACAGTTTGATCCGGTGTCACATGAGGTATGTCTTCAGTCTTGGTTTTAGGATGTTTAGGGAAAGATCCCTCTGTTCCTGAGTGGTACGTACTTTACATAGCTAAGGACATGTCAGTCAAGCTAGTGGCAGGCATAGAACCGCTCTTTGATGTTCACCACTGTTGTATGCTAGTATTTGTCCTCTTTCCATGGGACCACCTGGCTAGAAACTATCCATCAGGTCATCTGCATCAGCCTTTCTCAACCAGGTTGCCCTGTCACCCTGGAGTGCCTTTTCCTCTCCTCAGGGGTGCCCTGAAATTTTCGCAGAGCATCATGCCTTTTCATGGTGCTTGCACTAATCCAGGGAGTGTGGGACTCAGTCAGAAAAGGACAGAAGCTCACCTCCATCCAGGTCTGATCTCCTCCTACCTCTTGACATGCTGCTGCAGCTCCTGATGTGAAGGAGGGCTTCTGATGTAAAAGGGGGTTTCTGATGAAGGGGAAGGGGAAGCTTT